CGACAACGTCTCCACGGCAACGGTACTGCGCACTCCCTGGAAACCGTCCTCCTGAGAGTCCATCCGCGCGGCGGGGCTGGGGAAAGTAGTCCCGGCGGAGAGCCCTCTTTCGATGCGCGGGGACGGCACGCGGGCACAAGAAAGGGGGCGTGCGCAACCGTGGGTAACCCTTGAAAGCCAAGCAAGGCAGGGCAGGAGCTGGCTGGTCTTGGGATGAGAGGCCGCCAGACTCTAAGCCGGCATTTCTCAACCTCGGCAGCTTTCAGAGGGGTGGACTCCAACTCCCAGAATCCCCCAGCCAGCAAGCAGAAGGACCGTTCTCATCTCATACGCCTGTTGTTTAACCTGTTAAAGTTAACCTGTGTTTAACTTAAGCCAGTCAGCTGGGTTTGCAGGCTGCAAATCATCAACTCACAGGCTGGGTTCATGCAGCGGATTGAGCCCCAAACTAGCAGATTACCTGGACCCCCCAGTTATTTACACTGGTAAATTCCATCTACCCAGTCTTTGGGCATCTGTTGTGCCTTCCTAGCAATTCTAAAACCAAAGGTAGACTGCTCCTGGGCACGAAGGTTCTATTATTAATGCATGGAGTGTAGCCCACCCTGCCCAAATAGCTCCTCTAGGAAGCCCCCCCTCCCCAGCAAGATATACCCTGCCTCACCTTGGCTAAGCCATGGACCCTGGTTTACAAATCACAGGGGCTAGGTTCACACAACAGGATGGCGCTCTCCTTTCCCTTCCAAATCTAAAATATTGAAAATGGCTCCCCCTGGGCTTGGATCAGAAAGGGAACCGTCTCTAATTTGGCCACGGGGTTAAGGATGCCTGCTTTTAAAATGTGGGCAAATAAGTGCTGCACTTGTTTGATTACAGTGACAGGCGGTCTGCTTTGAAATCGTCAGATTGAAGCGATAGGTGCAAAAGAGGAGCAGTGGGGAGTTCCCGTCAAACAAAGAGGCCGAACTTGCTTGGCGATGCAGAATCAGAGACCAGAAGGGCCAGGACCCTGGGGAAATCTAACCCACCCCCCTGTCCCATGCGGGGCCTACCCACTCCTGCAGCATCGTGGGCAGAAGACGGTTATCCAGGTAGCCTGATTTCCTCCATTTCCGCACAGTTCTCAAATCAAGAACTGAGTTCTCTACAATCACAGCTATCATTTGGACCACCTCTGGGTCTTCCTTCCTTGATGCACCAGCAGCCTGCTGATTTTCCAAAATGTGCCTTCCCACAGGACGCTCTCGGGGCCCCTTTCAGATGGCTTGGAAAACTTTAGGTTTTAGTGAAGTCAGAAACGTGGAATTCAGGGTTAAGTTGTACCGCTCTGGCCACACTTAAACAACCCCTGAGCTACCAACTCCTGCACAGGGCTGAGGGTTGTACTGGATGACCTCTAGGATCATTTCAATCCTTATATTCTAGGACAGTGTTCCTCAACCTTGGGAACTGGAAGATCTCTGGACTTCAATTCCCAGAATTCCCCAGCCAGCCATGCTGGCTGAGGAATTCTGGGACTTGACATCTCCCAGTTCCCAAGGTTGAGGAACACTGTTCTAGGGTGAATATCATCATATATGATCACACCAGCAACGTTTTAGCCCAGCTGTTCTGCAAAGTCAGCCTCTCGGAGACGTTTAGGACTCAGTATGAGACGGGGACCCCCAAAACTGGGTTTGAGTAAACGAGGATTAACGCAGCAGGGGAACGTGAACACTCAAGAAACTGAGCGAGCCACGGCTTTTAACCACGAAAGTGCTGCGAGGACATAGCAAGCTGTCTCCAAAAGTCTTCCTTGCAGAGGAGCCTGAAACGCGTGCCTGTGTGTACACGCGCACGTTAGGTGGCTGCACCCAGAGAAACCAGATTTGCCCAACACCTTCTTCTCCTTGCGTCCCTTCGCGAGGCAGATCGTTTTCCACCTCTGCACACCCGGTTATCCAACTGACCGCCCTGCTCAGTTTGCACCACCCGCCGGGGCACAAACTGCCAACCGTCTGCCACTCTAGCGGGTCGTGGGAGTGCAGCTTCGGTTGACGCTGGCCACGCTCGCACCTCAACAGCTGGCGCAAGGCAGCCGAACCCGCGTTTGCCCAACCCGGACGGGGTGCGGCGCCCGCGCTCCCTGGGGCGGGTCCCTCCGCCGCGCGTCCCCCGGACTGCGCGGCCCG